GCCGCCCCGTCGCGTCCCATCGTCTGGGCCTGTTTGGCGGTCAGGCGGCTACATTCTCGCCGTCGCCGCCCCGTTTCCGCCCGTCGCGTGGGACTGTCTGGCGGTCTGGCGGCTACGTTGTCGCCGTCGCCGCCCCGTCGACGCCCATCGTCTGGGCCCGTCTGGCGGTCTGGCGGCTATATACATTCTTGCCGCCGCCTCCCAGTCGCCGCCTCGTCGCCGCCCGTCGTGTGGGACTGTCTGGCGGTCTGGCGGCTATGTTGTCGCCGTCGCCGCCCCCTCGCCGCTCATCGTCTGGGCCCGTCTGGCGGTCAGGCGGCTGCATTCTCACCGTCACCTCCCCGTCACCACTTCGTCACCGCCCGTCGTGTGGACCTATCTTTATGGGCTTGGTCTCCACCACCACCACCACCACCATAAGTTTGAGGGGGACGGGGTCCTCCTTCTCCTCCCCCTCGTCCTCGTCCTCCTCCTCCTCGTCTTTCACCTCCTTCCCCCCTCCAACTTATTGTGGTGGTGGTGGAAAACAAGCCATCATATCTGGCGGTCTGGCGGCTAAGTTGTCGCTGTCCTGTCGCCGCCCCTTGCCCCGTCACCGCTCATCCTCTGGGCATGCCATGCGTTCGTGCGGCTATGTTGTCGCCGTCGCCGCCCCGTCCCGCCTCCGCCGCCCCGTACTACGTCGATTGCAACACATATTCTTCTTCGGTAAACGAGCATTCGGAGCTGCTTTCTCCCGGGACTTTCGGCCCCCCGAGGGATGTGCAATTTAGGTATGTTTTTGCCCCATCGCCCATCCTAATTATGAGCCCGTTTCATCCCAGCTGAAACGGTATCCCCTTCCATTCTGCAGACTTCTATAAATGCGCGTTCGTTCATCAAACAATCGTTTTTGATTGTTCGGTATTCTGTTTGAACCGCATGGGGCTCAGTGCACGCGCGCGCGTGTTCGCGCGTGCATGCCGAATTCCATTTTAAAGGTTGTTGGTGTCGTGCCGATGTTTAAATCGCGTGCCACCAAGCCATATACAAGCACATGGTTTTGCAGCATCCAATGTCAAAAGAGCCTGCGCGCGCGCTCTTACGAATTCTCACGACAAAGCATTGGCTATTTACACTTGCCACCAAACTCTGCCCAACGGGCCTCCCGCGCTTCATGCCGAGCTCATCCGAACGCCCTTGCGCGCGTGCGGGGGGGGGGGTCTTCTCGTGTCACATAGCTCCACGCGGGCAACCCGCGCGCGGCGGCCGCGCGCTCATTATCGGCGGGTGTGATCACCATCGACGCCGACATTGGCCTCGCCGTCATCATCGCCACCGATCATCGTATCTACCGTTGCCGGCCTCGCCATGATACCGCGCCCGCCCAAGTCACCGACTCGCACTGAAATGTCCGCTGGGAGGTGCCCAGCGGTCAACGCCACCGCGGCCGCGTCGGTCGCGTTGCACTAGCTGGCCGCTGCGCGCTCGAGCATGCACGGGCCAACGCGATCGCAGATATACACCAGCCAACGCCAGGCACTCAGCGCAATCGCCGTCGCATGGGCTTTGCAAAACCAGTTACGGGCGGGTGGGCGGGATGATTTCGCGAACAGTGGGTTTGACAATTCACTGCGAGCATCTGTGGATTCTCCTTTCTGAAAGAGAACCGGTTCCGACCCCCCCAGGTTTATCGACACCCCTTTTTCGTATTGTAATTTACATATGATGCTGCCCCATCGTCCATCCTAAATATGATCTCGTACCTTCCCAGCCGAGCCGGCATCGACCCCCCCCCCGCCACCCTTTTTCAAAACATGCTATGCGCGTGCATTTGTTTGTCATTAATTATTTTTATCATGAATCCCTTGCACAAAAAGAGGACGAAGTGTGCACGCGCGCGTGGTCGCGCGCGCGTGTCGAAATCCTTAAAAAGTGGTTGCTGGTTGTAAGGATTACAGAATCAAATGTCAAGAAACAGAACCCTGTCCCACGGAGAATAATCCCACAGGGATAATAAAGTTTTGGGTCGCGGGGGGATTATAAATATTGCCTACAGGAGGCCAGCATGTGGGAGGAGAAAGAGATGATGTTAAGAGGACCGAAAGCCGAGGATCGAGGATCGAGAATCGAAGTCCGAGGATCGAGGATCGAGATCCCAGAGTCGAGGATCGGGGTCCGAGCCACCGACGGCGGCGAGGTCCGAGGATCGAAGATCGAGGATCGAGGTCCAGGGTGCCAGGGGGAGAAGGAGGAAGACAGACAGAGACAGAAATATACAGATAATTAGAGAGAGAGAGAGGAAACAAATAAGTAGAGAAAGATAGACAGAAGGAGAGAGGAGGAGGAGGAGAAACGCCAAAGTTCCAAACCTATGGACTTTAATTTGTAAACAAGCAATGGAAATTAAGATGTTCATCTGCTCGTGTGGGGTAGCTCACGTGCCTCGGTGTCCGTGGGTAGTAAACCACAGCGATATATATATATATATATATGCATACATACACACATATATATATATATAACAGTTCAGGGTGCCATGGGGAGAAGGAGGAAGACATATATAGACAGAGACAGAAATATACAGATAGTTCGACAGAGAGAGAGAGAGAAGTAGAGAACTAGAGACAGACATAAGGAGAGAAAGAGAGAGAGAGAGAGAGATAAAGAGGAGGAGGAGGAGAAAAGCCAAAGTTCCTAACCTATTAACTTTAACTTGTAAACAAAGAATGGAAATTGAGATCTTCATCTGCTCGTGTAGGGTGCCTCATGTGCCTCGGTGTCCGTGGATAGTAAACCACAGCGATAAAACAAGTTCAGGCGGCCAGGGGGAGAAGGAGAAAAACAGAGAGAGAGATGCAGAGACAAAGAGAGAGAGAGAGACCGAGAGAGAGTCAGAGAGAGAAAAAAGAAAGCGAGAGAGGGGGATGAGGAGGAGGAGGAGGAAGTCTCTCATCGACGAGTCTCTCGCTTCGCTTGAGACATCCTCGAAGAATTGTTGGTATCGCTTGAGACATCCTTGAAACACTTATCGTTTCGCTTGAGGCTGCCTCAAAAAGTTGTTGGTTTCGATTGAGACATCCTCGAAAACGTCTTCGCTTCGCTTGATGTTGCTATCTCAGCATAAGAAGGAAGTTCACGTCAATGGTGAACTTTTCACAGTGATTAAAAGAGTTCGGCCTTCGCGCCCTGCGCCCCTGACCAAACTCTTCTTGGCCGTGGATAATCAATCAACTCTAGCCTGGAAAGGGGGGGTCCTTTTGTACCATCGGCAGGGGGTTATACAAACACATGGTTTCGCAACGCGGACTCTCAAAAACAGCGTGCGTGCTTTTGCGAAATCTTAAGAACACCATCGTTTTGTTTTATGGAATTCTGCGAAACGGCCTCTCGCGCCGCATGCCGACAGCATTCGCACGTCGCGCATGCGGGGGGCGCGATCCGCGTGACAAAAAAACACGGGCCATTCTCGCGCGTCGGCCGCGCGCGCATGTCGAATTCTTCCAAAATTTGCATCGCCGACGCGAGGGCGCTGCCATCGTCGCCGGCGTGATCAGCATCCGCGCCGTCACTGGCCGTGGTCGTCGCTGTCAGCATCGTCGCCTGCATCGCTACTGCTATCACCGCGTCTTCCGTTGTCGACGTTGCCATGGTACCGCGCCCGCCCAGGTTGCCGACTCGCGCTGAAGTGCCCGCTGGGATGTGCCCAGCGGTCAGCGCCACCGCGGCTGCGTCGGTCGCGCCAAAGCGCATGGGCGCGCACGTGCATGCGCCGGCCGTCGCGGCCGCAGAGATGCACCAGCCAGCGCCAAGCACTCATCGCAATCGCTGCCGCATGGGGTTTGCAAACCAAATTGTGTGTGTGCGTGGGGGTGGGATGTTTGCGCGATCAGTGGAGTGCACAGTTTCAAGTTGAGCATGATTTGCTCAACATCGATTGCACCACGTACGTATTTTGCACAACGTAGAATGCACATCATCGGTGGCACACCATAGAGTGCACCACGTACAGTTCACAACATATGGTTTTCCACTTCGATTGCGTACCATGCAAATCTTCACACATACACACGTATGTATACGTATATACTTATATACACATATATCATAAGTATACTACACACATTTGATTTGCGCATGATGGGTTGCACCATGGTGCAACAAATATTGCACACCATATACGGCAACACATCTATTGCACCACGTGGGTGGCTCCACCAAAATTGCACCACATAGGTTGTGAGGCGCACGCTATGGTAGGGACCCGCGCTTGTACCATCGTTTGGCGGCCAGGTTTGTCACGGGCTCATATGATCATGGTGGAGAAGGGGGTGGATGAGCAGGAGGACGAAGAGTGCTTTGGCGAAGGGGTGCGGGATAATAGGGAGGAGGGCATGGACACGAGGGGGGACTAGGATGACGGAGTACGGAAGTTCGGGGTACAATGTTTGGGGTGTGAAGGGATGAGGTGGGCGGGGAGGGGCTGGGACAGGATGACCGGATGAGTAAAAACGATGGGTGCGATGATGACGATGTTCGTGGCATCGTGTCAATGTTTTTTTGGCTGTTGTTACGTTCGTGACGATTCGCGGTGTCTGTTTCAGCAGATGTCGGCGAGGAAAACATGTCGAACCGGTAGGTGGGCAGGGGGGGAGTCAGGAGGGCTGGTGTACGGGAGAAACCTTTGGTGGAAACGGAGGAGGGGGGGCGCGCAGGAGGGAGGGAAGGACGGAAGAGGACGAGGATTGGATTGGCCGAGTTTGGCGGACAAAACAACACAAGCCAGCACGCGAGTGCCACAGGGCTTTGCCCAACCCACCAACCCAAACGTGGGCCCAGGACCCAGAAAAGGGGCCAGGAGGAGGAAGCAACTCCCACGGGCATACGCACGCCGACCTTTGCTATCTCAATGGGGCCGTCCAAGGGGCTCGGCACCGTCCTTGCGGCACGGCGCGGGAGAGGATGAGAGGAGGTGGAGGGAGCGGCAGCCCACGCGCGGCGCCTGTGCGGCGGCTAGAGAGGCCGTCGGCTTGTTGCACAGCCCCGCGCTAAGCATCGCGGAGTTCTTCGGTCCCAGTGCCAACGGGGACGCGAGGCTGCGGGGGGCGGGTTGGGGGGGAGGAGGAGGAGGAGGAGGAGGAGGCGGAGGCGGAGGAGGAGGAGGAGGAGGAGGAGGAGGACGAGGACGAGGACGAGGAGGAGGAGGAGGAGGAGGAGAGGGAGGCGGAGGCAGAGGAGGCAGAGGAGGAGGAGGCAGAGGAGGAGGAGGAGGAGGAGGAGGAGGAGGAGAGGGGGGCGAATCTGGGACCACTCGCGAGCAAGGGGATGCAGTGTGCTCGTCGGGGGCCCGGAGGTTGGCACCACACATCGGCGGTGCGCCTGCGCCGAGAGGAGAGAAGATCCCAGTCTCGGTGATGGTAAATTTCGGGCTTCTTGGGTGGCCGACATATTAACGCCTACGCCAAAATCCAGGAGCATCCCAAGCGAGCGTAACCCGCTTGCCTTTCTTTGTCTTGCTGCTCATTGCCGAGCCTCCAACCAAGCTTTGGATTGCCCGACCTGTTGCCAGAGTTCGTGGAGCTTCCCCTACCTCCACCAGCCCATCCAGAACAAACAAACAAACACCTGGCGAGTTGCCCTTACCAGGGATGTGCAGCAGGACGGCGATGCTGACGACTAGGACTACGACTACGAATGCGACGAATGGACTACAGTGGGGGCCTATGCCAAGAAACACCCTGCTTGCCTCCTGCTTGCCTTGGGTTTCTTGGGTTTCGATGGTTTTGCTGTGGAGAGCGCGACGCTCCCACACCAAAATCAAGGGATGTCCTCGGGTCTCAGGGTTGGGTTTATTGTGGAAGGTATCTTGTGGTCGGGCCCCTACTGTCTGACTACGAGGGGCGTCCATTCTGGGAGCGACGACAGGCAATCACTCAACCAACGCAGCCACGGGCTGCCTGCGCGTTTGCTGTGGCGCCCGCGCCGCTGCGTGCGCTGCGCGGCTCCGCGTGGCTGTCTTGGCCGAGCGGTTGTTTGTCGTTGCCCGCGGTGTTTGTCACCACCCACCAACCCACCCCAACCCAACCCGAAGGCCCCGATTGGCCCTCCATTTCAGTGGGGGGGTGTCGGGGAATATCGAAAACGGCACACACATTGAGTCCGTACCCCCCCCCACCCGAAATTCGGATCCTCGGGTTGGGTTGGGGCAGTCGTCAGCCTGTTTTTCGGCGTGCGTGCCCATGGGGCTTCCTCCGCCACCGCCGCCGACGACGACGACAACGACAGGAGTCAATCCATAGGCACGCTGACGGCGATGTAGGTATCGGAAAGAGCGCGTTCTGTGATCGCTTGGAGAGGGGGGGTTGAACAAGACCCCCCCCTTTGATGAGGGGTGGGGTTCGAACCCCCCCCCCCTCCCCCATCCCTTGACGGAGGGGGTGGGGTTCGAACCCCCCCCCCCCCTACTTCTCCTTTCTCCTTTTCCTCGGGCCGGCGCCGGTGTTGGCGGCGGCTGGCGGCGGCGGCGGGGGTGCTGGTGGTAGTAGTCGCGATGGTGGTGGTGGTGGTTGTGAGGTGGTTTGTGGTGGTTGAAGTGGTGGTGGTGGGTTTTGCTGCTGGTAGTAGTGGTGGTGGTTGTGGCGGTTGTGGTGGTGTGGTAGATTGCGGTGATGATGGTGGTAGTTGTGGTGGGTTGTTGTATTCGTGGTGGTGGTGGTGAGCTGTTGTGGTATTGGTGGTGGTGGCTGTGGTGGTGGTTGTGTGGTGGTTTGGTGGTGGTGGGTTGAGGTTGTGATGTTGGTGGTCGTGGTGGTGGCGGTGGTGGTGGTGGTGGCGGCGTGGTGGTTTGTGGTGGTGGTGATGGTGAGTTGTGGTGTTGGTGGTGGTGGTGGTGGTGCTGGTGCTGGTGCTGGTAGTGGTGCTGGTCGTGGTGGTGGGTGGTGGGTGGTGGGTGGTGGTGGTGGTCGTCGTTGTGGTGGTGGTGTGGTGGTTTGTGGTCGTGTTGGTGGTGGGTTGTGGTGATGGTGATGGTTGTGGCGGTGGTGGTGATGGTGGTGGTAATGGTGTGTTGGTTTGTGGTGGTGGTGGTTGTGGTGGGTTGTGGTGTGGTGGTGGTGTGGTGGTGGCTGGTGGTGGTGGTGGTGGTGGTGAGGTTGTTTGTGGTGATGGTGGTGGTTGCGGTGATGGTGGGTTGTGGTGGTTGTGGTGGTGGTTGTGGTGGTGAAGGTGGTGGTTGTGGTGGTATGGTGGTCTGTGGTGGTGTGGCCTTCGGTTCTTCCCGCCATCGTGCTTTGGCAAAGGGTCAGAGGTCTAAAGGATGCCTCTGGAGGTCTCGTCAGAAGGGCTTCGGGGGCGTCTGAGGAGCATGCGAGGGCTCGATATGGCGATTTGTGTGTTCCCTCTGCGGCCTCTGGGTCCTCTCTGGTCATCGTCGCTGCGTCCCCGTCGTCGGCGCTGCTGACCGCCGCCAGCGCCAGCGCTGGCGCCGGCGCGCGGGGAGGGGGGGGGTTGAACCCTCCCCCCCGCCACACCAAGATGCCGGCCCACGGGCCTGCTTCGCGGGGGAGCCCGCGCCCCAGCCTCTGGACCAGAACAACGACCAGGACGGGGGCTCCCCCAAGCGGTGCGGCCGGTGTTGTTGGATCTTTGCCCGCTGCTCGCCGGGCCCCGGGACCCTCAAAGAACCACTCGGGGTGAGAAGCCGATCCCGGGGAGAAGGGTTCCAGACTTGTTGGGGTCAACGCTGTGGGGAGAGCAAGACGTCGGAGTGTGAAGAGTCGGTTGGGAATTGGGTCGTGCTCAAAGGGTGTCTCGGGCTACTTGGGCCTCGAAGGTCCCAAAACCGTGCGGTGACGGAGGGTCTTTGGAGATTTTGAATTCACGGCAAGGTTTCTCACCGCGCCGTGATGGGACCCCTAAATTATGGTGACGGTGGCGGTGCATCTTTGCAGTTGTGGGCATACGCGTAGAATAAAGAACCGTAGAGGGTAAGACATTGTTTGGCAATGGCCCGATTTGATCCTACCCGCAAGCCTGTTGACTAACCGGCAAGCCTGCGACGAATGAAGTGTCAGGAGGCCATCCTGCGACGCGCCAGGACCGCCGAACGAGACGTCTCGTGGCGCGACGAGGGAAAGAAGCCGATGTGCCGGGGTCGTATCAGGGGCAACGTCAAGGGGGGAATCAGTTCGAAGGAGCATGCATCGACCCCCAATCACCCACTCGACGCCGATAGGGGCTCGATAGCCCACCTCGCCCAGGAACCTGGTTCCGCTATCGGGGGTGTGGCGCTTTGTTGGCGATGCGTCGCCGGTGCCGGCTCGACGCACCCCTCCACCGAGCGTGTTCCCCCTATGTTCCACCTCATGAGCAAGGGGTAGGGGTGGGGGGTTTCGCGATGAGAGAGTGGGGCTCCGGGAGAGGCAGATGAGGGAGTGAAGGGACGGGGCTCTGTAAAGAAGGGGCGCCTGGAGGAAGGCACTGCGAGGAGGAACGAGGGGGGGGGGGCAAGGGCGGAGTCGGGTGCGCAGGAGTCGGGTGCGCAGGAGGAGAGGAGGAGGAGGAGGAGGAGGAGGAGGAGGAGGAGGAGGAGGAGGTGGGAGGATCATCTAGTTGTCGTTGCCCCTCAGTGGCGGAGGAGGAGGAGGAGGACCAGTGTAAAATCAAGAATCATCAACGATGTTGGAATTAACCCTCCCTCCAAGCTCCCTCTTCATAGGCCCCCACAGCGGTTCATTTGCATCGAGGGATCTCCCTCGTTGGAAGACAACCGTTTGAAGATCCTGAAGCATGCCAAAACATTTCTCTCGGGATTTCAACGCCACGTATCACCCTGACTGCTGCGTCTTGACGATCAGGAATCGTGCCAGAGCGCCATTTGAGGGAATTCAACACCGAAACTCTTGCACATTGTTAAAACGAATGTGCGCGGCGCTAAGGCGAGAGCCACATTTTGAAAACCACCCGCCCTCAGTCCGTGAAACTCTTGCACTTGTTCCAAGCGACTGTGCGCGGCGCTAAGACGAGAGTCACATTTTGAAAACAGCCCACAATGTGGTACCGTTGTCACTGTTGCAGCTTCAGCGTCACAAGTGATGAGGAAGGCTCAGGCGAAACGCCCAGCCCGCCCTAAGAACTGGCCTCGGGGTGCGACAGGGAGGAGTTACCTATCCGGAGAAGGCATGGGGGAGGAGGACGAGGAGGCGTGGCATATTTCTTGGCCCCCGCTTGCCGCCATCTGGCGCCCCGCCTGCGCCTCGGCCATCCCGCGCGCCCCGCCCCAGGCTGTCCGCCTGCGCCGCCGAGGTCCGCGGGGCGGGCGAGGGAGGCGGAGGAGCAGGAGGGGGTGCTGCTAAGGTTACGTCGGGCATGTCCTTCTACAGGGGGAATCCTCAGCACTAAACACCAGTCAGGGGTCGATGTGTGAGACTCTGTTGGACTTTTGGGGGGCACGGCTCGACGATTTGAGTTTTCGCCCAGAGACCCCTGCAGGAGGACATGCCCGACCCAATGCTGCCTCCCCTTACTTCTCTAGGATGAAACTCGTTCCAGGTCCTTGGCCTTGGTCACCCCGTCGAGCTCGCGGGGGCCAGTGCCCTCCTGCGTGCAGTTCGAGCCCAGCCGATGCGGTAGTTGGGCATGAACCTGACCGCGAGGCCACGCTGCAGGAGGAGGCGCTCCTACATGGTATAACCAGCGGTCTTCATCGATTGGGGGGGATCTTTTGTTCCCTACCTAGGCTCTGCATAGGGGGGTTCTTACTCTCTTAGCTTAAAGGGGCCGGGCAGTGGAACACGCCCCGGGCGGTTCCCCCAGTCCCCTGGGGGCGGTTCCCCCCGGTCCCCTGGGAGCTTGAGCTTTAGTTTTAGCTTTAGCTCAGCTTTAGCTTAGCTGTAGCTTGGCTTTAGCTTAGCGTTTCGCTTAGCTTTTCGCTTAGCGTTTAGCTTAGCTTTAGCTTAGCTTTAGCTTAGCGCTAGCTTAGCTTTAGCTTAGCTGTAGCTTAGCTTTAGCTTAGCTTTAGCTTAGCTTTAGCTTAGCTGTAGCTTAGCGTGTAGCTTAGCTTTAGCTTAGCTTTAGCTTAGATTTAACTTAGATTTAGCT